TCAAAAGCTGCCGTGTGACTCTCATTCCATAAACTGACAGCCATCTACGATGAAGAAAACATGCGCTATAACTGCCACAAAAAAAGTCACTTTATTAGGGCTGAGCCCCAGTGCATCCATATACACGCCAGAAATACAAGGTATCACTCTGTTTGCTTGGGAGAAGTACAGGGAGTCTCTTCTTGCCCTATAGTAGAGTTAAATCCTGTAGTAGGACTCCTGTAGGACTCATGTTGTGCCTGAATTTCAGTGTGCAGGAATTGCACCACAGTGGGCAACAGGCAGGGATCCTTACAGAACATTTTCATGAAATAACTAACAACCTTCTGATAACTCTGTATACTGGAACTTCCGATTCATTCTTCACCTCTTTCCTGAATCGAGCCACAAAAGCCTTTGCTCAAGAAGGCCAAACAAGACGTATGAGGTAAGTTCTTAAGAAACAGGAGGTGGACATGACCAAAGTGAACCAAGAGGCAGACGAGAGGTTGAGAAGAGCAACCCCAGCAATTCTTTGAAGAGGGTTAGGAAGACTGAATGAAATTAGGAAGGTTGCGCGTGCGTATGTATGTCACCAATACCCAGAACAGCTAGGAAGGAAGCTAAGCATTCCCTTAAATAGGACACCGTAATTATTTCTACTGCACAGATGAAATTTTACGATCTCCTAATGTACTTGTTGGGCCCAGGCAGTTAAACAGACTGCTCTGACCATAAAAATCAGAGTTCCTGAATTCCAGACCCATCTTTGACACCAGATTGATGCATGACCTTCGGCAATTCACTTTAACAATTTTAAGTGGAAATTGCACTTAGTGAGCGCTAGAAAAGCAAGTTTTGATGACACATTAGTGAGAGAAGACAGTGTTTTGGGGTTAGTATTTCAGAAGTCCCCCACTTTCCAGTAAAAGAATTTTCTGATTTGAACTAGTACTTATATTAAAAGGAAGCCTCGGTCTAGCAGAACATTTCCTACCCTCTGTCCCCACAATTTTTCAAGAGCTCCTCACTCCAAATTCCATTTTGGATCTAATCTGAAATGTTCCATTCAACATAATTGAAAAGAAATATCACTAAATTAAAATTCTGACACAGTTGAAAGAACAGCAAATCAAAAGTACTATCACAGAGAGAAGTAAAAATGTCCCATTTATTACAATTCTGAAACAAATTAATTTATTAATGAAATAAAACCTTGTGTAATGAAGTACAAAAGTAGAAGGTATTTATATTTAAGGTTTGGGGTTTTTTCTTGCCTGAATTCAACAGGTTTTATTCATTATCAGAGTAATTCAGTCCCTCTGAATCCCTGCCCTTTTTCACTACTATTCACAGAAAACACAAAGCAAAATCTTACCCCTGCCAATTCCAAAATTTTAGCCCAGCCTGAACACTTTAGGAAATCCTGTGCAGCTTTGGTGTCAATTTGAAACCTAGCAGAAATAGCTCCATCCACATATGCTGGTCTGAAGTTGGCAAGTGGAACAAGGTATTACACTTCTGCTGCTCCCATCTTTATCACTTACACTACGACCAGGAGGAGCATTGGACATGACAGATTTTTTTTTTTTCTTACTGGCAGAAGTTACTACGGCAGCTGCACTGGTAATTACGCTAGTAACTATGTCCCATGAATCACATTCCTCTTGAAGTCCCCTGCCCAAGAACTGTCCTCACTTTCATCTTCACTACTTAAACTGTCAGACTTGAAAGCTCCCACATCCCCTGCAGCAAGTTTCGTACAATACGCTCTTTCTACAGTCCGTGCTTCTTATTTTAAGTCCAAGAAAGAAAAGTACTCTGTTCTTCTGAAAAATCAAAACCTAATCATTCTGTAAAGTATAAAAGCTACGAGTGCATTTCCTTCCTTCCCCCTGAAAAAAAAACCAGAACCAGTCAAATACTCCTGAAAGTTTTCTTAAGAGTTCTAGTGGAGCGGTAAGGCGGCTGTACCTTCAGCTACGTTCACACTGCTGGAGTGCAGGCTTTGCAATAACCTGACATCGTGTTCTTGTTGCTTTAAGTTACTCAGACAAACTGCTATAAAAAAAACCAAAACAAAACACCTTTCTATTTATCCCTGACACACACAGATTTGACAAGAATCTCAGAATTCTCTATTTTAATTAGACTCCTCCAAATGTCTCAGTCATCTTCAGGAACAGCTAAATCAGTCCTGCAAACTCTTTTCAATAAACTTCATTTTAGACAGTTTCATTTTGACATCATCATTCACTGCATTTTCCACCTTAGTTACAAAAATACATTAACACATATTTTTAGCTTGGAATTCTGGTATGTAATCTTCTTAAACTTTTTTGTACTAAGAATTATTATTTTTCTTTCCTACATCTGATTTTGTGTTTTATTCTACCGTACCACAGCTGAGTTTATCAGCTTTTTTTAAAGGAATTTTATCAGGAGTTTTGCAAGAATCTCCAAGTTCTTTTCCTACTTCTGTGTTGACCCACTCACAGATTTATGACATGCTAAAAAAAAAAAAAAAAAAAAAAAAAAAAAAGCTGATTTCCCACCCTCCCTCCTGTCACATGTCTAACAAGTTATTGTAATTTGATTCTCTACAAACTACTCTGGAAAGCTGCAGAGCCTGTTCACTTGACTTCAAAGCCATGCTATTTCTTCAATTTAGGATTTTGTTTGATTTTCATGTTATGCACACATTTTTTCCCCAAGTTATCCTGAAGGTCTATGTAGTAATTAAGCTAATCCATAGTATTTTTGGCTTACAATGCCTTTTCCTACTTCTGTGCTGACCCACTCACAGACTTATGACAGGCTACAAAAAAAAAAAAAAAAAAGCTGATTTCCCACCCTCTCTCCTGTCACATGTCTACGGAAGTTCTGAAGCTGATCATGGACAGGACAGCTTGTAAAAGGCAGACCAACAGCCGTAAGAATGGCTGAATATTCAGTTACAAAATAAGTAATATGTATTATAAGCCACTGGAACTAACTGAACAATTATTTTTCATTTGTTAAATCCTATACAGTAAACTGAAGTATCAAAGCCATAAAAAAAAGCACTTATTTGTAATGATGTTGTCCTACCTTCATAATAAAATGATTAATCATTCAGAAAAGAAATAGGAAGACATTTGCCTGGTTATCTAAAGAACACCAAAAAATAAACTTAATGAATATTCTTAAGCATCCTTTTCATAAAGCGACAATATACAGATCATCTCCTGGTCAAAACAAACAAAATCCCTCTCCAAAACTCACCTAAGCCCTTTCATAAAAGCACACCAACTACACAACCAGCTCCAGCAGAAAATAGAAAAAGCGTATTTGACCAACAAAAACAGGGGGGTGGGAAGTGGAGTAATGCAAAAGACTTGCAGAAAAGTACTTAAATTACTTTAAAAACTGGCATACAAGTTACGGAAGGTTTATGGGTGAATGCATTGATAAGTCTATACCCACAGACCCAGAGCAAAAATGCGTGAAACATTTTCTTCACTTGTTCTGTTAATTATGAATTTCCAGGCTCCACTGGTATGCCCAATATTGGGCAAATAAAAAGGGAAATAACATCCTACATTCATCTTGGGGAAAAAAAGCCAGTTCTGAGACATATCAGAAGTATTCACCTCGTTTCCTAATTTGCTAACTTAAACCAGCTGCTTCCCACTCTATACATTGCTCTAAATAACCTTCCTTCATTTCTTGTCTGAGCTTCCCAGCTGAGTATCAATCTCTTACTTGAAACACATCTAGAAAACAGCATATTGTGACACAAACGTGGAGTATTTGCAAGCAGTTAATGCGGAAACCTGTGTGAATCACTCATGTGCCAGAGCAATTATACATCGGTCCCAGAAGCAAGCACTGACAAACATATTGTTTTGAGTTTGCCCAACTCCCTCAAAGGGCTGATTACATTCAAAAAAATGAGCAAATAACAGCAGACAAGAACCCTTCTGGGCTTCGACCTGACCAGTCAGTTTACACCTTGCTAACCACTACTGGGAGAGATTGAAACAACTGAACAACAGACAAAAGGCACAGCACCAGCTTCCAAGCCTCTTAAAACAGTAGTAAACTCCAGAGCTTATTCATCCACTGTCTTGAGCTCTTCTTTTTTTATTCTGCCTATAGCACTCCCATATTGATTTTAAGGGTCCCAAAGCATAAATTTGTGTTGTTGGAGAATTTATATAGTTTCCCAATGCTCATTTTTGTCCCTTTTCCCCAGAATTCCTGAATACCAGCAATCAATACTGTTCTAAATTCCCCTTAATGAACAATATTCCAGCTATGCTGGGGGACAGGGAAGCTAAGGGAGGGAAGAGGGACAATTTAGGAACAAATTTTCTCTTTCCAGTTACCATATCTACATACACAGAAATGACTGAAGAAGATGTTACACAAAACATGAAGGAATGCATTGTCTAGATGCAGCAGGGACAAACAAGATACCAGCGGATCTACAAAGGAGTATTATAAGCCACAGAAAACAATCAGCAGCTCATTTCAGCACATGCTCAGCTACCCAGCAATTTTACAAACACAGAACACAGTAGGGTTTCACACATGATGCGTATGCTTAATGTATAGGAGCTCTTCATATGAAACTTGTATTAACGTAAGGCTGCAGTCCTCTTGTTTAAAAAAAACCCCAAAAGATCCATAACAAATTATGAACTGTGGATGAAATCACCTAATTGGTCAAATAGCAGTAGTTACATTAAATAATTTTTAAAGCTAGATCAGAAAATACCTAAAAGATAATCGTATAGAAGCACATGAAAACCCAGCTCAGGCTCAGCCATAACTGAAGAGTTTCTACAGTGAGTGTTTTTAGTATTTTAGATTTCGGTCCAGGATTCTGACATACAATCAACATGCAAGCTCATATTTAGAATTTCTTTTTCATATAGTTAACAGCAGATTACTTTGAGCAATGAAGAAATTGGACAAATACGTGAACAGTGTACAAAAATCAAACATTAACTGTAGTGATTACAGTGATTACTCACAGTATTAACTTCTTTGAACTTGAGCTTTAAAAACCAGAACATACAGATAAGAACGGAGCATATTTTGATCTTCTGACGGGAGCCTGACCAGGGATCCTACAGAGCAGTTTCCCACCGTCATAAGCAGGGCTCAGGCCGCTTTTGCTGCTCCACTAAGGACTCTGACAAGACAGGATTCCATACACTGGGTCAGCACGCAGCATTTCTAACCAATGACATCTATAACAGATAGCTGTCAGCTTTTTTCATAAGATACGCATCATAAAAATTCCTCAGCGAAGACTTAGTATTGCTTCATCAAAATGTAACAGTTTCTTTCTCTATCACAAAAATAACAAAACCAGATTCTTAGTTTAAATGGCATTTTTAAAGCTGATTTACTTTTTTTTAGATATCCTAAAAGTATTAAGTCAGTCCAGTGACCAGATTTTTTTGTTGCTGTTTAAGAAAAGCTGCACTCTGCAAAGATGTTATTTAAAATTTATTTACTATTGTGATAGGATGCTTGGATATTTGGTCTGTGAAACATTTCCATTCATTTTTAGTTCTCAAGACTTCTCAAACCCTTGTGCTACAAGCAGCATGCACATGAATGGGGCAGAGGAGAAACCAAGAGGTTTAAGCACTTGATTTTGGATTTGAGCTTTGAATAAGTTTCCCCCAGTAGTCTGGAAGGGGGCATTTTATACAACTTTATATAATTAGAAGACACAACACATTCTTTCTTCTGAGAAAACAAAGGAAAAAGTATCTCTGTATTCTCAGAAACTTTATTTTTTTAATGTATGGTGGTTTAGTTCATACTTTTAAACACTTTGTTTCCACGATAAAAGTTCTTTTCCAAAGGTCTTCACCTGTGCCATGAAAACAAGTTCCAGACCAAATTTTCCTTTGTGAAGCCTCAGCTCAGGGGCCACCTTTGTTGACACCTGTAAAGGAGAATTTAAAACAGAGCTAAAATAAAATTCACCCTGATCCTGAAGTCCTAAACGCTTTGTAAAGCTTATATTCTAAAACTACTGCAGTCATTTCTATTATGTTGAAACCACGGCCACAGAACAATAAATAACATGACTTGTTCACGCCACAAGACAAAATCCAAATCCAACGGCTCTAACGCCTAAATCATGAGGCCCTAAACCACTGCAAAAATATTAACCTGTCGCAGAATGCTAGTGGTACTGTACTGTAAGTTACACTTTTTACCTTAAGCTGGATCCAGCTCGACCTTTCTCCCAGCTCGCAAACTCTCAACAGAACTTGTGCTTAGCTGACAACTGCATTCATTACAGTTTGTTTATCTGCAGACGACGCAGGTAAAAGAAGTATCTCCATCCTGCACTGCAAAATATTTTGACAAGAGAGACAGTTTTCCAGCAATTCCCATCTTTTTGTTGATCCTGAATATCAAATGTTTCAAACAACTCTTGGGATTTCTACCGCTCTTTTTCAACCACCTGTGGGGAAGGCAAGGTTAACCACACCAAAACTGCAGGGAATTCCAGCGACTTTACACAGAGGGACAAGCAGGAATCTCACGAAGCAAATGAAGCACGGTTTACCTATCATCTGCTACACCCAGTGAAAACGGTCCCCTCCGATAAAACCAGTCGCAAGGCCACGGAGACAAGCAGGTATGGGGTTTTTTGCCACTGCCAGAACCTGCCACAGATAGCGAGCCTCGCCAACACGCATCTGGCTCCTCGTTTCAGAAGCCTGCCTGGCAAAAAAATTACAGGAGCACATTCCTCCTCTTGGCACCGCAAGGCCCTGCCCCACCACTTCATCCAACAACTGGACGTGAGTAACAGCACGGGCAGGCTTCCCAGGGACTGCAAGGCTTCTGGTGACACGTTCGGAGCGGCTACGAGCACCTCCAAGGAAGCTTTTTTTTTTTTTTTTTTCCCCTCCAGAGACGGAATCGCCCGACCGGCGGGATTTCTTTGCACAAGCAACACCTCCCTGTCCTCCCTCTCTCTACCCAAAGCCCCCCGCAGCCCCTCCACCCAAATCGGGACACGCACACGCACCCGGAGCGGTAACACCCCGCGCCGACCATGCGACCCCCCGCCCGGCACAAGCCGCGCCGACCCCCCCCCCCCCCCCCCCCCCAACGCGGATCGCTCCGGTAAGAAGCGGGGCGGCTTCAACCTTCCCCCCTCACGGCCGAGCGCCCGCCGCCGCCGCCGCCGCCGCCGCTGAGGAGATGGCCGCCCCTCCCCCGCGCGCCGGTCCGCCCGCCTCCCGCTCTCCCCGCCCGCCATTCCCCGCGCCCCGTTCCGCACCTTTCCCTCCCTCCTGGCTGCGCGCCCCTGCCCGGGCCGCTCCCCGCCCCGCGCCTCGGCACCTCCCCTAGGATCCGGCAGGCAGGGGTGGGGGGGGGAAGCGGGAAGGGGGGGGGGGGGGAAACACACACACACACAGACGGAGGACGCGGCGAAGGCAGAGCGCACCCCGGCCCCACCGCGGAGCCGCCGCCGCTCCTTCCCCATCAGCCACCAGCACGGAATGATCCTCCGCTCCCAGCCGGGCTGTCCCCCTGGCCGGCTACACCGCTCCCCTATTGGCTTCTACCTCCCCTTGCCCGCCCCATTGGCTCCGGCCTCGCGTTACGGCGCGGCGGTTGGCGGCGGCGGCCGTCAATCAGGCCGGAGCCCCCGGGAGCGCCCGCCTCCGCAGTTATCAGGTTAGTGTTCGCCGCGGTGCTGGGGCTCGGGATTCCGAGCGGAGCTGGTTGAGCCCTCAAAGTCCCTCACGGCGGCGGCCTTGGGGGGGTCTGCATCGGTGTCACTGCAGGAGCGGAGCCGGCGACAGCGAGCGACTCCCGCCAGCCACGGACATGGACATGAAGAAAAGGATCCACTTAGAGCTGCGGAACAGGACGCCCTCAGATGTAAGCAATGCCCAAAAAAAAAAAAAAAAAAAAAAAAAAAGAGAGAGAGAGATAATAATAAAAATCCATCCCACGCTTTTTTTATTTTTTTTTTTTTTTTTAATTTTAGAGCGGGCGGGGGGGAGGCGGGAAGGGGTGTGCATCCCAACCCCGCGGTGGTGGTGGAGGTGGCGGGGCCGCTGCTGCCCTTGAGGTGCCTACCTGTGTGTGTGTACCCCAATTTTTGGGGGGGTGCCCGAAGGCGCACGCGTTCTGGTTTAGGCGGCGGGGGGGGGGGGGGGTGGGGGGGAGAGAGGGGGTGTTAAAACTAGAGGCTGCTCCTGAGTCTGCCGGTGTGCGATGCCTTCCAGGGGGGCTTCGCCGTGCATTAAATAAAAATAAGTTGGTGCTCCTCTCTTGGCGTGTTTAGTTCGCAAATATTTGTACAGGGTGCTGGGCAGGGAGAGGCAGACAGGGACTGCGAGTGAGTTGCAAATGGTTTAGTTTAAAGTGCGTCTTCATTTCTTTGCAGTGATCAGGCAAGAGAGACTGGGGAGCCATATTTGTAACTTTGTAGTCCTCATGAACGCGCCCTTTCTCTCTCTCTCCCTCTCTCCAGATGCTGAGAAGATAAAAGAAAAGAATTTTAAAGCAATGCTTAGCGTTTTTGGCGATCGGGTATCGCCGCCGGTAGCGCGAGCGTTGAATAAAAAAAATATTGCAAGAAATAAACGCACTCTCCACCCCCTCCATCCCCACACACGCACAAAAAGGCTGGATGTGTGCGTGTGCGTGTTTTTCTCCCCCCCCCCCCCCCCCCTTCCCCTCCTTCCCCCTTCCCCCGGGGCCGGACTTCAGGTTGTTGTTCCGCGTCTGGCGGAATAAACGAGAGAGAGAGAGGAAAACTTTGTCAGGACAGAAAAAAAAAAAAAAAGAAATAATAATAATAATAAAAAAAAAATCCCACCCCAAAAGCTGGCGGCGGCGGGGGGGTGCTCGGAGGCAGGCGGGGCCCTCAGCCCGCTCCGGCGGGGCGCGAACTCGGGGCGCGGGGAGGCTGAGGGCAGCGGCGGGGAAGCCCCCTCCCCTCCCCGCCCCGCCGCGGCCCGCCGCCGCCAGGCCCTTGCATAATGGCCGGGGAGGGCGAGGTGCGCCCCGGCCCCCGCCGCCGCGGCGGGGAAACGGGAAGGGGAGGAAAGGGGGAGAACGTACCTCTCCGGGGGGCGCTGGGGGGAGGGCGGAGGCAAGGCGGCGGGACGCGGCCCCGCGGCTTTTCGGTGCCCGAGCGCGGTGTCCGAGGGACAAAGGCGGGCAGGTCGATGTAACCTGCTCTTTAAAGTTTAAAAACTCCTGGGCGAGGAGGAGGAGGAGGAGGAGGACGGGCAGGAGAGGGGGGGGGGGGGGAGAGAGAGGAGAGGAGGGCTCCCGCCACCGCCGCGGCACACGCCGCCGGCCGCGGCGGGCGGTGAGGCGCGGCCCGCGGGGGCTCATTGTTCGGGCGCGGGGGGCATCGTGAGGCGAGCGGGGCCGGGCGCTCCCCGCCCCGCCGAGCCGCTCCCGGCCCCGCGCTGCCAGCGCCACACGGCAAGTAGGACGCGGCGCCATGTTTTTTTGTGGATTATTTTTTTTTTCTCTTTTTTTTTTTTTTTTTTTTTTTTTTTTCCCCTCCTCTCTCCTTCTTCCCCCCACCTCCCTTCCCCTTTTCCTCCTCCTCCTCCTCAGCTACGGCGAGGCGCGGGCGGCGGCCCTGACCGCCCCACCGAGCGTGAGGGTTCCGTGAGGGGAAACCCCCGCCCGCCCGGCGGCTCCCGCTGTGGCAGGCCGGGGCGGCGGGGGGTAGCGGCTGTGTGTGGAAGTGCGACATGAGGCGTTGGAAAAGGAGGAGGAGGAGGAGGAGGAAAAGAAGGGGGGCGGGGGGGAGGCCTTCCCGCCGGCACTGCGGCGGCGGAGGGGCGCCCGGGCGCCCTCTCCGACATGACTGCCAGCCGCCGGGGCTGCCATTTTGTCGCCGAGCGCGGGGCGGGAGGAGGCTCGTGACGACCGCAGCGGGACGAGCCAGGAGGGTAAAAAGGCGCCGTCCCCTTTCCCCCCCCCCCCCCAACCCCTTTCCCCGCCGCCCTTATTTATTACGATTTTTTAAATTATTTGTCGTTAATCCCGCGGGTGCTGCTGTGGGGCATGGGGAGGCCGCCTCCCCGGGCTGCCGCGGGGACCGGGCCCCAGCGGCGGCGGGCGGGAGCGGGGCCGGGGGTGCCCCCGCAGCCCCCCGAGCAGGGAGCTGGGCCCTGGGCTGGGCCCTGCGGGAAGGTAGGTCTCCTTATGGGACGCCTTTTATTTTTATCTTCTTTTTTATTATTATTATTTTTTTTTGCCTTCCTATTTTTAGTCGATTTATCCATCGTTCCTGCTGGAGGCTTATTCACCATTTTAAACACAGAACAGTTTAAAGACTTGATCCAAAGTGCGTTAGATATAAACCGGACTTTTTTTTTTTTTTTCTTTTTTATTCCTGCATGGTTGGGTTTTGTTCAGGTTTTGCTCTGTTCTGGCTCACGCCAAAGGAAGTTGAGATAGCTCTGAGCTGGTGGCGTTTCGCTGTTCATCAGTAACACAGAAATCTACAGCAGTTGTAAAACAAGGCTTATGTAACCTGTCACTTTTTCTTTTTACCCGCTAGCCTTTAACTCTGTCAGCGAGTTACGTGTGTCGGTCCTCCCAAAGTAGCAAAGGTGATCACCTCTGTTATAAAGCCAAATTTGTCTGGTTTCATGCAAAGGGGGACAGAGATGCCATTTGGGAATGCTGTTTTGTTTAGAGTCCGCTTTGTAAAGCCCTTGATTACAGATGTGTGCACGTGCTTTTGTGTTGTGGAGAATTATCTGTATGGTTTGAAGTCTCGTTTCTCTAAAATACCTATTAAAATTCAGCTAAATCCAGCTAGCGCTTTAGCTAAGATGCTTGGAACTGGGGTTTAGAAGCTCTTCTAATGCCCATGTCATGTATTTATGGATTTTAGTAAGTCTTTGGGCATCAACAGGAAGGTTCTGCGAATTGTTTTTGTTAGCCTCTGCTTTGATAGATAGTCAGTATTTCTCCATGTGTGTGAGATCATTATTTTCAAACTTTTAAGTGTAATGTAAATAAATTTTGGTGAAAATAACAATGTACTTGTTCTGGAGCTTCTGCTCTGTATGTTCTTAAGTTTTGTGGTACATCTTATGTTTAATATATCCTGTTATCAGAACATACAGGTTCAAAACTTTCTGTAAATCAAAGTTAGATAAGAGGGTGTTGATAAGGTGTTGTGGTTCCTTCTGAGCCTATATTAATACTTTATGGTTTGATCTGGCTAATACGGTTCTTGTGTAGAATACTCTGTGCTGCTGTGCAGCTGAGCTAGCTGCTTTGAGCTGTTAAGTCATAATCCTGCAAGGTTACGTGTTGACTAATAAAACATAATATAAATGTCCTGAACTGGATTGTATAGGAGCTTTTTCTTCCCCAGCCTCTTTTTTGTTGTTTCGGGTTTTGTTTCTCTTAGTCCTCCCTCCATTTTTATATGCGTTCAGTGTTGCTGAGAGATGTGGGGTTTTGGTGCTTGAAACTTACTTTTGCTGTATGTTCTATAGCTAGAGTTGAGCTTGTGCATCTACTTGTTGCCCAGATATTTCAACTTTTTATCCCATTACATTTAATGGTCACTTAAAGTAGTGCGCTTGCTGTAGCCCTTGTCATTTTGCTGATCATATCAACGCAGTTTCCTGTTATAATTAACTGCTTGCTAGAAATGGGCCAGGTACAATTGTTTTACACGGGTTTCCTCCAGAACCATCAGACAGTAGTGGTGTAACTACTGACCTCGCAGAGGGCTGCTCACCTGGGCATGTTTGTGGGCGTTCTTGTTCCTTCCCATCATAAACTCATTAGTAAAATGCAAAGACTGTGGAACGGGTTCAGTACGAAGGCTCTTAGCTGTGTGACACGGAGGTAGATTTTTGGAATTTTGCACAAAACTCATCTTCTCTGCTTTACAGCTACCGCACTGGTTCATTTATTCTGAGGATTTAGTGCTTTATCAGCTCAAAATTGTGACAGTGATAAAATACTGACTGTAACACTGCGTATGTCTTACAGTTCTTCTAACTCCCTGTTGCACTTCAAAACTTAATTTGACAGTCTGATTTCTCTCTGGTTTTCTGTAGATTTTAACACGAAAGGGAAATACGGTGCAAGCATCTATACAAAGTGTTCTGTCAAACGAAGAATATAAATAAAAAAGCTTTTTTTCCCCAAGCTAGTTCCTTGTTGTGATGCTTGCAAGAACCATAAAGAGTTTTAAAGTGACACACATCACTTCAAAGACCTGCATTTAAAAAAATATTTTGGTCTTGCGTATGGGTGCAGATACCTACGGTGCAGATACATATTTTTTTACTTTCCCCAGGCTGAACAACCTCAGAATGGGAAGGGGATGTAGTCTGTGTTTGAAACAAAGAGGGATAAGGTTGTGTCTGGGGAGGCATGAGATCAGTGCGTACAAACTCCGTGCGGCATGTGCAGATTATCTCATGGATTTTTGCAGCCTTGTATCACTTAACCACTTATGTAGCTGACAGCAGGGTGTAAATGTATAAAGAAGTAGCTGTCTTTTTCACAAACTTCCCGAGTTTGTACAACAGCTGGTTTTCATGGCTCTGAATTTCCAGATGCAAACCTCTTAACACCATCGTCCTATCGGGTGGGTGGGTGGATGCTCATCTTGGAGGGACTGCAGCCCACAGAAGTCAGGCTGGGGAATGGGTGAGGTGTGTGAGCTATCGTCACTGAAATTTAGATTAGTTTCACAGTTGACTACTGGGCTGACCAGGGAAGTATGTGGCAAATGCTCTTCTCTTAACCTGGACCAAGTTTTAAGCATACGAAAGGAACTATGAACGTAGAATTGAAAAACACCGGTATATGGATCCAAAACTGGTTGTCTAACTTTCCCATTTCTCTGTGATGCTGCTAGAAAGTAGCAACGGTAGATTTTATTTTTCTTTTTAACCCTCAGCTCTCAAGAGTTTCCTTTTGACCAGCAATACCTAAAGCGCAGTTACAAACTTTCAGTATGATTCAGGTGTGTGTCCAAATACTGACTTGATAACAGTGCATTAAGAGAAATAGCTGGGATTTAGTTGATGAAATGCATCTCCTGAAGAAGCAAGGGTTCTTATCCTGTCCATCAAATGAAAGTAGTTGTTGAAACAAGGGGGGGGGGGGAAGGTTATTAGTACAAACCTTCTAGGGTTAAGCCTAGCTACTATAATCCATCCTTGCAGCAGGATTTGTGTGTTATATATCAGTAAATACAATATATCTTTATGCTTATCTGCTCTAAATGTACACTAAAAAGTCCTGAATGTTTCAAGGTGCCGCTAATGACATGTGAGGATTTAGGACTTTTAAATACAATAAAATATTTTAAAAGGCGGGATTATCTACATCAGTGATGCATCTTTAAATGTACATTGAATGGTGGCACAAGTATCAGAGGCTGTTTTCTTAAATATTTATATACCGTAAGGCTGATGTTGACTGATCTTCCCATTTCCTTCATTCTCTGGATTAATCCCCCATCTTCCTGCTGTAAAGATACAGGTATTGGTAAATTGAAGAAGCCTGAAAAGTAAGAACCGGACCAGCAAAACATGTGTGGGTGCTGTGTCTTGAATGTTTTTTGAATGAATTGAAAGTAAGGAGATGTTGGGGGAGTAGTTGTGGTTTGCACACCAGAATCCCAGGCTCCTACTGGGATCCCAGCGCCCTGTTTGGGAGGGAGCAGGACTCGTTCAGGGTGCCGGGAAAGGAGAAAGGGAGGCCCTCTCCTTGCCACCCACCGGGACGGGCTTGCCGTTTGCGGGGCGCGTGATGGCCTTCAGCAGTCTTGATTGACAAACAGCTCAGCTCCATGAACCAAACCCTCTGTGTCTGCAGCGAGGTACAAGTCTCAAGTGGGAATAGAGAGCAGTGGTGTTTTGTTGTGCTTTGGAGTGATGGACACTTCTCAGCTATTTATGTGACACTACTGGACTTGTTCTGCATATAATTTTTTCCTGACTCTTCTTGCTCAGCTATCCTCCAGACAAAATAGCTAGTAAATACGTAGTCTGTATTTTTTGACTAGGTTGCTAAAATCAGTCGTGAAGCCCTTGCATATGTAAGCATGACCTTTGAAATACTTCCAAAAAGAGGGAAAAAAAAAAAAAAAAAGCCTCAGTGGTTTGCCTCAACGCCACTGTGTAGAAGTTGTGCTCTTTTTCGGAGCGCTCATTTGTCCATCAACTTGGTCTATTGAGCACTTTCCCTTTAAAACCATAAAAAAAGGTAGGAAGAGCTTATCTTTTGTAAGTATGATTTGCCAGTGGATTCTATAACAGCTGACATCTTCAGAGACTGCTTTCCGTATTAAATATGCAGCTCTTAAAATTAGTCTTCATTTAAATGCAGTGTTTCTTTTTTATGTGTGTCTCTACATCAGTCCTTTGTTGCTGAGGGCAATTCAGAGTATGTGTAACTGAACCAACTAAGCGGTTCAGCTAAACGCTGAAAATTTCTAACTGAAGAATTTTCAAATTAAAGGCGCAATGCAATCTTCATGTCTTGCTTCTGCTTTATTTAATAATAGCTGGCAGTGAATGAAAAGCACTTCGGATGTGGTATCAGGCACTCTGTTTCTCAAACAGAGAAACTGAGACGTGGAGCTGAAGTGACCCGTGCAAAGTCACCCACCCCAGCCAGGAGCAGAGTGAAGTGCTCTGCTGGTAGGTGATACCATCTGTAGAAAAAGAGAGAAGCAAGCAACTTTAATGTGAACATTGAAAAGCATTTAATACAAAGATTAAGCAATTTGATCACGTATTTGAAACAGTCTGTCTAAAGAAATATTTGGAGTTTTTAGAGAGTTATGCTGCTAACAGTAGAAACAGAAACGAAAACTAGCTATCTCCTTTTGAATGAAACAGCTTTCCATGTCACTAGGGTGTGTTCTTGATTTATTAATTAGTATGTTGCTTATGCATAT